GTTGAAGTCCACAAGTCTCAAAGTTGCCAAGTTTGGAGATCCCTAGCATAGAGGATAGAGTTCCACACCTTTTTGGAGGAGTTAGCACATCTGGAATTTGGTAAACGGCAGCTTCTACCATCACAAAAAACTGCTATGCAAATGTCCAGCCTACCTTTCTATGATGCTCCATTGTTTGATCTAGAATCTTGCTATCCGGAAGATGCTTCCGGATCTTTCTTTTTTTTTTCCCCCTTGAAAACTTCATATAACAATTGTGGCAAGAATTGCCTATACCCAGAATTGGAAATGTGATAATATTCCTTCTGGCACCGTGATAATAAAAAAGGTTTTAGAACGCACAGAGATGGATAGGTTATCGATGGAATTGAAAGAGAGAGAGGAAACAGTGCACCGTGAGATTTGGAACCTAGGGTATAACTGGTTAAAAGGTAGACATAAAGTAAATAGATAAAAGAAAGGTAGGAGTTATGGCAAGATGAAATAATACTGTGTATAACTATGTAAAGAATTATGTAAATAAATATGCGAATATATGCCTTAAATTGAACGTAGAAGCAACTGTAACAATACTTAGTAATAACCTACACATTTAGGAATATGTCAATGTGAGTGAACGTCGTTACGAACACGCTGTAATGAGTGGAAATGTGTTTTTAATTGTGAAAATATGTTCCATAAAGATTTTTAAAATTAAAAAAGAAAGAAAGAAAATGTTTCACTCCTCATCCCAGAAGCCTCTTCAGTTTTCAAGGAAATGATCAAGAAAAGTCCAGTTTGGGATACCCATGACCTGGTTGATTGAGAATCTCCACAGACAGAATCTTGCTGTTTTTAAGCAAGTATTATGATCTCAATCAAGAGACCCTAACTAATTTTGGAGCCCAGAACTGGATGACGTTTGAATAGAAAACTGGGGATCACGCTCCAAGAAAAAGACCAGATCACAGCAAAATACTAAAACTGGGTTTTCTTTTGCTGAAACGGGAGTTGGAGCAAATAACATGTATAGTTAATTGGATTATTTTTCCACACACTTCATAATTTTCTCCCTTGGCCCGTTCCACATTTTAATTATACTTTCGCAGGACTTCGCTCCATCCGTCTGATGAAATCAAAAGGATCCATAAAAGCTCATGCTAGAATAAAAATCATGCCTTCCTGTTTAAGATGCCCGGAGACTCCTAATTAAAGAGCAAGAATTAAAGGATAAAAGTCGCACCCAAAAACTTCCGGGGGGACCTTTTGCCAGCTGGGAGACCTCACATGATGGAGCTCAAGTGTTGATTCTTCTTCTCACCAAAACTGGGTGGAGTTTGGAGAAGACCCTCCTAATGTGCGTCATAAACTTGAGTGTGGACTTGAGCCCACAACCAAGTCTGCTTTCACACTAATGCCCCCTTCTTCTCCTCGGGGAAGCATCTCACCCAAGAGATAATTCTAACCAACACACTTTTGTGATCTCAAAATACCGCTGGTCTTTGATCTGCTGTGTCCCAGTTCTCTTGATCTGATATAGGCCTGCTACCGAGTCTGCTGGAACTTGACTTGTTAAGAGAAAGAGGCAGGATTTGTATCAGTGAGATTAAGCATCGCCTGGGAATTGACACACCACTGGGAACAACTTGTCACAGCTCCATTTTAGTTCTGGCTTGTAAAATGGGATTAGATTCTTCGGCCGTGCTCAAGGTGCAGCCCTTTTGTGTCTTGCTTAACACTGCTGACACTATTGTGGCCTGTCAGCCGCTGGCCCCTCCAGCAGCCGAATCAGAGGAGGAGGAGGAGGCATGGGAGTCAGAGTCAGGATCAGGGTGACCTCAGAGCTCCGAGGGGGAAGAGGGAATGGAGCTGGCAGAGAGAGAGAGAGACAGAGCTGAGCTGTTCTTCAGCCCTCCGATAGAGTCAACAGATGGCAGAGGAGAGGAGAGCAGTGGAAATCTATGGGCTGGTCCTTGGGACGGAAGAGCCACCACTGCTAGTGAAGCCCCACCCTAGCTTTGGGGATAAAAGGCAGAGGGCAGAGATGAAAAGATGTGGTAGACAACTATTCATCTTCCAGCTGGATAGACTTGTTAGCCTGCAAGAGAAACTTTCCTGGGGCTGCCGGCATTCCTAATAAAGGAATCTTTTGAGTTCACGTCAGTGGGTTTGTCGTGTTCGGTGAGCTGGGTCAGAACAGGCACCCTCTTCTCCAGGAGATTCAGCCCCTAGAACCATAAAAAGGAAATCCACAGCAAGGTTGGGAAACTGCCTTCTGCCGGGGCCTTTCCTTAGTTATTTTATTGGTTTACAGGTAGTCCTTGACTTATGACCCACACTCGAGTCCAACATTCCAGTTGCTAAGCGAGACATTTTATAATCTTTCTTCCCACCATTGTTAAGTGAATCACTGAGTTGTTAAGTTGATAACAAGGTTGTTAAGGAAGCCTGGCTTTTCCATTCACTTTGCACTTGGGGAAATCCATGGGAAAACTGCACCTGTCATAAATATGAGTCAGTTGCCAAGTAGCTGAATTTTGATCACTTGATTTAGGGGATGCCGCAATGGTCCTAAGTGTGAAAACTGGTCATAGGTCCCCCCCTTTTTTAATGCTGCTGTAACTTGGAACGGACACGGATAGCTAAGGACTGCCCATATTTTCATTTTACTGATTGCCTATATAGAGCTGCCCATCTCACGCTTGTAACTCTTGGCCGGTGCAGACAATGAAAAGAACAAACACAACCCCCCAAGCCATCAAAACAATTCAAAACAAAATCCTCACAAGTGGGCAAAATAGCAGTGAGAGCAGGAACGATTTTCGACTTCCTGCTGGTTTCCCCATTGATTTTCCTTGTAAGAATCTGGCTGGGAGGTTGGAAATAATAATCATGTGACAATGGTCGACCATGGTTGGGCAGCAGTGTGGCAATGTGGTAGCACTGAAGCAGTCACAATGTCGGCAAATTTCAGGACAGAACAGAACAGAACGGAACAGAACAGAATAATGAAGTTGGAAAGGATCTCGGAAGTCTTCCAGTCCAACTTCCAACTCAAGCAGGAAACCATTCACCCTCTGAGATAAATGAATGGCCAATCTTTTCTTGACTACCTCTTGCGATGGATCATCTCCAACTAATGAAACCAAGCTGTTCCGTTGCTTGATTGCTCTCACCGTTAGGAAATCTCTCCTTACTCCGAGGTTGCTTCTCTCCTTGATTAGTTTCCAGCTGTTGCTTCTTCTCTTGTCTTCTGGCACTTTGGAAAATAAGTTGACCTCCTCTCGTCTTTGTGGCACCCCTTAAAGAAGAAGGGGGTCAACCTATTCTTAAACCCACAGGGATTGCGAGCTCTGGATTTTGGATTAATTCAGTAAGTTAGCCCATTTGAGATACACCGATTCAAAAACGGTTGCCTTATGATGCATCCTTATGCTCAGTGTAAGCTTACAAACAGTCACAAGAAGTTTTGTAGGGTACAGTTAATCATAATGACAAAGTCCAGGAGAGTGAGTTCTGAACTTGCCTGCAATGCAACTGTTTAATGGGTTTCCACATTTCTCTGTCATCCCCAGGTCCAATAGCAATATTTCGTTTGTAAAAATGGTTACAAATGCTAGCCGCCCATCCTGGAGCTGAGAGATAGGATGACATTTTCTGCTGTTCCTCTTGCTAATCCTATCTGCTCTCTCTTGTCCATCTCTGACAGTTCCCTAACTTTCTTACAAGATCACAGGTGGCAAAGCATGACATGTTTTATGTATCTCAAGTCGACAGCATTCAAATAAAAGAGTTAAAAAAATATATTACCTTAACATCGATAGCCTGGCTTGTACTACTGTCCACACAACTTTCCCTACACAGCCCTAGAGTAGCTGCGTCTCCTGTATTTCTTCCCTGCTGTGGAATGGCTCAAAACTGTGTCTAGCAAAAGAACCTCAAGTAAATATGCTCCCTTTGGTTCCTCATAATATTTTATTTCTCCTGGCCTGTGAAATACTGTGAAATATGAATGCCACTCTCTAAAGCCTTAGTATGACCATACCTCAGAATACTGCATCCAGTTTTGGTCACCACGCTATACAAAAATATGTTGAGACTCTAGAAATAGTGCAGAGAAGAGCAACCAGGGTGATGAGGGGACTGGAGGCTAAAACATACAATGAGCAGTTGCAGGAACTGGGCCTGGCTGGTCTAGTGAAGAGAAGGACCAGG